ACTACAAATACTAATAATCTCTTTTTTTAATTTTAATAAAATTAACAATTTATTTTATCTCACATATTACTATCAACACAATATCTATTTTATTTTAATCAATCATTACCTTAAAAAAAAAATTTCTTCTTTTTGTATGATTATTTAATACAATTAAATTTATATGATTATTGTTCATTTTACAATTAAGTAAATCATTTCAAATTTTGCATGTGTATCTCAATACATTTCATATCGTATCAAATAATTTTTGGATCTCACGGGTCATTATCATCACAATGTCTATTTTATTTTAATCAACAATTTACCTTGATTTGAAAGACAAAATCCTTAATTCAAAATATCAAAATTTCCTTTTTTTTTTCCTTTCTTCTTCTCACGGGTTTTTTTAATTCTTTTTGTATGATTATTTAATAGAATTGAGTTTATATAATTATTTTTCGTTTTACAATTAAGTAATTAATTTTAAATTTACATATGTAAATAAATATGTTTTATATTGTATCAAATAAACTTTCTATTCACACATCACTATTAGCACAATACATATTTTATTTTAATCAACAATTGTCTTAATTTAAAAGATAAAATTTTTATTTTCAATTATTAAATATTCATTTTTCTTTCATCTCACATGTCCTTTTTGTACTTTTGTATTTTAATATAATTTAGCTTATATAATCATTATTTATTTTAAAACTATCGTATCAAATAAACTTACCTGTGCGGTCGCATGGGTATCTGGCTAGTATATAATGAAAATAAATGAAATAAAAATATCGAGGGACATAAACCAAACCCAATCAAACCACGAAATCAACCCAAAAAGGTACACATAAAATTCAAATCAATTGTCGTACCTCGAAAAAGTACGATCATTCGCGAATGGCCGCGGAAAACACAGAGTCGCCACCGAACTTTATTTATCCCAAGAGGGAAAGAAAAATATCGATAAAACCTTTAGGGAAAGAACATGATCATCGCAACCAAGTTCTAGGTTTGGGAATCGGTTACATGAGGGGAAGGTATTAGCACACCTCACGTCCGTTGTACTCAACGGGAACCTCTTGATTCGATTCGTAAGAAATGTTAGCTCAGTTTGTTTATTTTCTTCCAAGAAAATAAAAGGTAAGATAAAAGGTTTATGGACTGCTAAGGAGAGATGAGTAGTTTTAGATTAGGATGCTCGCCAGGGATTAGGGCCCTTGTGCCTACGTATTTTCACTTGAAAAGAAGTGAAGAATCAGAACATCTATAGTTCGTGGAACTACGGTAGAAAAATAGAAGGTTGAAAAGAAAAGGTTGTGAAAATGTGCTCGCCAAGATCATCGCAATCTTGTGCCTACGTATCTTACATTTAGAAGAGAATGTAGAATCAGAGCATCCGTAGTTCGGACTACGGATATAAGGGTCTCGATCGCACTAGGGTGAGAGAAAAGGTTTTGAATAATAGGTTGGTCTCTATTGCACAGGGGCAAGAGAAAGGGGAAGTTAGTTGTCAGTGTGCTCGTCAAGGATTAGAGGTCCTCGTGCCTACGTATCCTTATTAGGGAATAAGGAATCAGAGCAGTCGTAGTTCGGCCTACGGTTGCCGATTTGACTTTAACAAAAGATACTTAGTCATATTCGACAGAAAATATTGCTTTATCTAAACGAGTGAGGAGAGGATGCTTGCATCACTTTGAATGGATTTTCATATATCAACATTCATTGGAAACACGCCACTTATATAGACTCAAGTAGGTTACGGACGAAGCAATATTTTGCATCGTCTTCAAGACACCATATCTTACGTTTATGAAAAAGTTTGACGGTTCACACGACGACGATAAGTTGGTATTTGAAAGGTTGTTTATATGTTTGGAGAAGAGAATATATTTGAATAGGTTTTAGGGTTTTTATCGCACAAGGGCGAGGAAATGAGGTTTGACGTATCAGATGCTTAGTTAGAGGTGACGATTACCTAAAGCTTAAGAAAGGCTTCTCGGGACCAAGTAATCGGGAAAGTGAGTCAAAGGCTTGACTCTCTCTCTTTTTCACCCTTAATGGTGAAGGAATGGATATTGTTCGAGTAGGTTAATCAGATGACGATTACTCAAAGTTTGAGAAAGGCTTCTCGGGCCCAAGTAATCGGGAAAGCGAGTCAAAGGCTTGACTCTCTCTCTTTTTCATCCTTAATGGTGAAGGAATGGATATTGTTCGAGTAGGTTAATCGGATGACGATTACTCGAAGCTTAAGAAAGGCTCCTCGGGACCAAGTAATCGGGAAAGCGAATCAAAGGCTTGACTCTCTCTCTCTCTCTCTCTCTCTCTCTCTCTCTCTCTCTCTCTCTCTCTCTCTCTCTCTCTCTCTCTCTCTCTCTCTCTCTCTCTCTCTCTCTCTCTCTTTTTCATCCTTAAAAGACTGAATAGGAAAGGCATTGAACGAAGGAAGATGGTTGAAAGATTTTAAACGGATGAGAATTACTTGAAGCTTAAGAAAGGCTCCTCGGGTCCAAGTAATCCAGAAAGCGAGTCAAAGGCTTGACTCTCTCTCTCTTTTTCATCTTATATTAAGAAATAGTTTTAATATAATTAGAGTGGCTTATGAATGACGATTACTCGAGGCTTAAGAAAGGCTTCTCGGGCCCAAGTAATCGGGAGAGTGGGTCAAAGGCTTGACCCTTTCTCTTTTTCATCTAAGTGTTCGAGAAAATAGATTTTGAGTTTGTCGTATTGTACATCTTTTTGAGAAGACAATTGTTTGAACTTAAGAAAGGCTCCTCAGGCCCAAACAATCGAGAAGAGAAATCAAAGGCTCGATTCCAACTCCCTTTTCATCTTTATCGAAATTGTGTTTGAAATTAATTAAGTATACTAATTTGATTTGAAGAAAATACTTGATGTGAATCGAGGTTTAAACTTATGTGTGAAAAGAAAGCGATTGAACTAGAGGATAGGAGATCCTAAGGATCTAGGGTAAGGTCGATGGCGAGGCATAGGCACTCGACTTACAAGGGTGAAAGTGGCTCGACGTTGGATCGAGAAATTATTTTTATCTTTGGTTGGGTATGTAAGGACTTATATAACAAAATCATGTGACCACGATAAATAATCGGAAGTTACACCATTTAAATCGAACTATCAAACAACAAAATACTAAATAGGAAATAAATGAAAAGAAATAAATTTAATGAAATTAATTAATTAATATTAAATAAATATATTTAACACGATTAATAAAATCATATATATGCGCTTTTCTACCAATTATACTAAAAAATATAATTATTTAGTTAATCACAAATAGATTTGACGTAATTAATAAACTATTATTTTTATATATACATATTTCTACAAATTAAAAAATATAATTAATTGAACATAAATTTAATGTAATTAACAAAATATATTCTTTATATATATGTTTTTTCTATAAAATAAATAACATAATTAGTTGAATATGAATTTAATATAATTAATAAAATATATTTTTTTTGTTTTTTATACATGTCTTTCTATAAAAATAATAATAATAATAATAAAAAGAAAAATGAGCTAAAATAAAAACAAAAGAGTAATCTGGGGGTGCATTCAGCACAATCCCATGCCCAAAACGAGGGCCCAAATCAGAGAGAGGGAGGGTCCATCGTGGACCCTCGGCTAATCTCGGCCTCAAGATTGAAACTGGGCAGAGGATCTAAGGGCTAAAAGGATGATGGTGTACGGTAAGGGAAGAATATAGAGATGCACGGGATCATGATGGGCGCAGATGATGCATTGTGGATGATGACAAGTGTCATCATCTAGATTAACTTTCCGAAAACAAAATCATGCAATTAACGTTGACACAAATCCCTCCTCTCATTATTTTTCTCTTCTTCAACCAATGCCCTCTTCTTCTCTCTTCCAAACCAACGATAAGGAACTCGCCGGAAGAAGAAAACTTGTCGGAGAAGACAGTGGCGCGCGGTGGCCGCCGCCATCATTCTCCGGCCAAACACCCAACAAAAGCCCTGTCTCTAAAAACTGACCCTTTTGAGTCCATTTCTGAACCCAAAAATCCCAAAATCCTAACATATAACCCCTAAATCTCAAGGCCCTTCATAAACCCTAGATCTACAACAAAATCTCTTATACCAATAATTAAAAGAGGGTTTAAAACCCACAAGACATGAGGAGCTAAAATACAACAATAGAAAAGGTCAAGGAGATGATTCCATACCAAATCGGAGGTAATCCGGCGTGCAAGCGAGGGCAAGGATAAGATATGTGTTCCCTCTTTTCTTTCTGGATTCTCTTTTCCTCTCCTCCTTATATTTCCTCTTCTTCTCTCGTAATGAATGTCTTTGATGTTTTTTGATAAAAAAAAAACTAGGGATTTTCATTTGTTCGTCCTCCCCTCAATGAACAGCGTTCTTTTCGTTTTTATAATGTGAAAGAAAATTAGGGTTTGTAATTTTTGAAATCAAAGTTGAAGAACCTTCACTTAAGGCATGTCTGTTAGTGCCTTTAGATTTTGTAAAAACTATTTTTTCCATTTTGATGAAAATCCTTTTTGCTCTTATTTTGCAGGTCTGTTGGTGTGTACGGAATGCGCAGGATTTGTCGCGTGTGGCTTGTCGATGCTGTTATATGAGTTTTGGTAGCAGCAGATTGAGGTGGGGTCAGCTGTGTGCAGGACGTGCGTTTTGGAGGGAAGTTTTGTTTTGAGGGAATGCTGGCTGTGTAGGTGTATTGCGGGGCAGATCATACAAGTTTGTGGTACAGTCCATTTCTCTCTTTTTTCATTTTGTAGCTATCACTTTATACAATGCTAGTATCGATAGTGCTGTTGCGGCTTTGTGAAAGGCTTATTGCTTGTGATGATAACCAATTGTTATAATCGCTGATGTTTGCCATTGTTTCACAGGAAAAAAATGTGTGTTATGCTTAACTCAATAGCAAAAGGGCTCCAAAGGTTGCGATTGTGGGGCGACACGCACTCCTGCCGCTGATGGCTTGGAACTCCTGAAATTGATATGTCCCCACAAGGTTATATTCCTCTCTATTTCACAAGCCTTGTAGGACATAAAAACCTGGATAATGTCATCTTTTTTTTATAAAAAACGACATTTTGAACACTTAAAAATCTCTCTCATAACAGTTGAATATCCGTGTATCATATCAACTCTTTTTCTTAGCATTTCAAGTTGCAGTTAGTGCATTTGAGTAGAGAAGCTAGAATAATGATTATGTGTATACGGTTTTGAAGCTTTTTCTTTTAATAACCCCCTAGCTGTTGTATAATTGAATTCCCCTTTTGGAAAATGAAATGATGTGTTGGATGCAGAAACAATCGGAACTTGCTTTGTGTTTTCACTGATACACACTAATTTTTTTTCTTGCAGGAAAAAACTGTAATACAACTTTCATGACAGCCTCAACGATGCTAGTAGCAACTCTTTTCCCCAGACGACTTCATGATGCAGGGGTGACCCTTGGTGGCTGGCTGCGTGAGATTAAGCGACGTGTGGAAGAAGCTTGTGTTGTGATCGGAAGTCTATGGCGTGATAAACATTCTTTTTATTTAAGCAATAATTTGTAGCACTTGGTTCATGCAACTTGTCAAGAGCCTTAATGGAAGTGGATTTTCTTTTGACATTTCGGATGATTTTGTACCTTTAGAAATTATTTGGATTTTGAATTGATATTGTAACCTTGAATTTTGGGTTTGAGCCCACAAGTTGTATTTTTGGGATCAAATTGGAAATTAGAACTTGGAATTGGAACTAAACTTGGAAATTTGAATGACTTTCAGAATTATAATTTGACTTTGAAGTTCATCACTTGGAATTGGGTTTGATATGCTTGTGATTTTACAATGGAACTTTGAATAGGTGAACATATCTTGAGATTTGGAAAGAGTTTTGTACTTGTAATTTGGATAAGAAATTAAGACTTCAAAGTTGAAATTAGATTTGAAAATTTTTGAACATGAAAATTGAAAGGTGACCTGAACCTTGAGTAGATCTGGAATTTGGGATATACTCGGGATAAACCTGAACTGAATATGAAATTGAAACTTGGGAAACAAATTTGCAAAGGGATCGGGAAATTTGCAATGAAGCCTTGTCAGAAATTTTGAACTTAAATGAAGTTGCAATGTTAACCCTTGGTCAAAAGTTTGTTCTTTTATGAATGGGGAATTTGAAATTGAAATTGAAATCTTGACATGAGCTTAGAATTTGAAGTCGAAATTGAGATTGTTCAAGAATTTGAAACTACACTAAAGTTAAAGTGGGACTGAATTTGAATCTAGAATTTTAATCAGACTGTGAATCAACACAACAATAAAATGAACTACTTGAAACAGATTTGCATAACTAACAACTCTTGACTTTTTCCAACAAGACATGCTCGAAAGCCAACTTCAGCATCTTCAACTCGTATTGAAATCTTAATACAAATCTCACACCACATCCTGATTCCATCTCGGAATGATCTTGACTTAAACACAAAGCTTGAATCTTCTCTTGAGAAGAAAACATGAACCATATAATCAAGACTTGAAGTAATTGCCTAAATTTTTTGATTTGATAACTTTGTATGATCCTTGATTCAAACTTGCAAGATTCGAACTTAGATGACAAGCGAAAGACGCGTATCTCGGAGGCATAATGGCTGGATGATATACATGATAGATATGGTGTACAAATGATGGAAGTGCTACGATATGCACAAATGGCGAATCAGGGCCAAATTTAGAGTGTAACAGTTGCCCCTATTTAAATATCTTCAACTAGATAGTATGAAGAAGTTCATTCTTCATAAGATCGTAGTGGGAGATAGTTAAATATCAAGAAACTCGGAATTTTGATCCTAAATGCATACGACATGTTATGCTATGCACAAGAGAGAAAATATGCGATGCTAACATGCAATGAACTACATCATGATGAAGATGGTGGGATGATAAATGCAAAAATGCTGACAAGGGAAAGAAAACACACGGGGATAAAGTCATCACAGTGAATAGAAAACTCACTGGAGATGACCAAACACAAGGGAAAAGAAAACAACTGAGGAAATCTAAAAAGCGATTGGTCAACCGGTTCGGACATGAATGGCTGACACTCTAGAATAAAAGATAAAGTCGGATCCTAAATTAATAGGACCACGCAAGCCAATGCTAGAGTTCTCAAACATCCAAGCTTTTGGAAATTCCTTAAATGAAGAGATCAAACGGGATCTTCAGGAAAGATACAGGGTATTTAAACTCTTTTGTATGCCAAAATAATTGGACTTCACTGGGAAACGCCTTATAGATAAGCTTCTCAAAAAAGATAGCCACTTATCACTGTAAAAGGACTTATATACCACCAAGAGAGGATAAGCTTCTCGAAAGAGATTGCCATTTATCGAAAATAGAGAAACAAGCTTCTCAAAGGAGACTGCCACTTGTTGCTGAAAGAGATGGATAAGCTTCTCGAAAGAGATTGCCACTTATCGAAAAAGAAGGATAAGCTTCTCGAAAGAGATGCCACTTATCGAAAAATGATAAGCTTCTCAAAGGAGACTTCCACTTAACGTAAAAGCATAAAAGGAAACAAGTTTCTCAAAGGAGATCGCCACTTATCATAAAAGCGGAAATAGATAAGCTTCTCGAAAGAGACTGCCACTTATCGGAAAAAGGATAAGCTTCTCGAATGAGACTGCCACTTATCATAAAAGGATAAAAGGAAACAAGCTTCTCAAAGGAGATTTCCACTTGTTGATAAAAGGGGGATAAGCTTCTCAAAAGAGATCGCCACTTATCATGAAAGCAAAAACAGATAAGCTTCTCGAAAGAGACTGCCACTTATCAGAAAAAGGATAAGCTTCTCGAATGAGACAGCCACTTATCATCAAAGAATAAAAGGAAACAAGCTTCTCAAAGGAGATTTCCACTTGTTGATAAAAGGGGGATAATTTTCTCAAAGGAGATCGCCACTTATCATAAAAGTGAAAATAAATAAGCTTCTTGAAAGAGATTGCCACTTATCGGAAAAAGGGTAAGCTTCTCGAATGAGACTGTCACTTATCGTCAAAGGATAAAAGGAAACAAGCTTCTCAAAGGAGATTTCCACTTGTTAAAAAAAAGGATAAGCTTCTCAAGCGAGACTGCCACTTATCGAAAAAGAAGGATAAGCTTCTCGAAAGATATGCCACTTATAGAAAAATGATAAGCTTCTCAAAGGAGATTGCCACTTATCAAAATAGCGAAAACAGAAAACAAGCTTCTCAGAGGAGATGGCCACTTGTTAACAAAAAGAGATAAGCTTCTCAAAAGAGATATCCATTTATCTGCAATGGAGATTTGTAAAAGTTCTCGCTGCAAGATGTAATGCGAAAACAAATGCACGATTAGACTAGGTTTGGTGACCTAACCAACGCAACACTTGCCAAGAACTAAAGTTCAATCTAGGAACAAGCTAGAAAGAAGCGGTCAAAAAAGACTCCAACCATTTAGGAATGAACTCGAATGGGGGTTTATCTTATCAAAACATGGAGAAAATAACAGAAACAACCGTCATCCACGAGGATCGAACTCTGTGGGGAATTTAGAAATGGTGCGCACTTTATGCCTAAAGCTGACGACCCTACTTGGAGAGAGATGACCAACCCGACCACTTGGGGAATAAACACACTCAAAGTGAACGAAACAAGTAAACACCAGAATGGTAGCAGAAATGCTCAGATGCCATGCACAAGTATGTATGCGGGATTCTACGTTATTGGTAAAATGTGAGACGTACTAAGGGGGTTATTGAGATGACTACCAATGATATTTGCTGGGGATTGATAGAGGTAAGGTAGACTGACTCGCTAGTGGTATTTGAAGAAAAATGGTTAGTTCTGGTCTCTCACAGAACAAACCAAAGATTGCTGGAAATTTAAAATGAGAGGTATGCTCTGGATTCGCACGGAGCAAAAATATAATTGAATGTAACAAAAGAAAAGACTCTGGATTCGTACAGAGTTTAACAGAAAGGGTCGCGGATTCGCACATAACCAAAGTTGACAATCAACACAACACGTGGAAGGATATCTGGAAATTATCCAATTAGAAAGTAATTGAAACCGTAAGGACCGACATAGAGGGTTTTGGTGTGAAGGTAACCATCATGTTTTCCTCAACACCCTGAGGTGTAATATAAATGAAAGGATGTTCTAAACATGTTCTTTTGATGTGTCGAATTTCGTCAAAAATCTTATTGGAAAATGACAGAGCCAGGTCCTCATTGAGGATCATTCTAGAAATGTTCCACAAATATATGGTAGTTCTGTGATTTCTGGGGAAAAGATCAACTTCCCTTTTAGTTATTTTAGTTGTCAAAGAATTTATATGTCTCAACATGTTGTTATACCTCAATTTTAAAATTATATCATCAAAATAAGTGGCACTTGCAAAAGAAAGAAAACGCAATAGATAGAAAAAGGAAAATGCAAACTTCATTGGAAAAAAATATGGTAGCACATGAAAGAACACGGCTCCGCATGGGATATTACAAGGGAAACAAACAAATGAAAATGGAAATAGGAAAGGTTTACATTGAACCTCGATAAATGCTACTTCCCCTACAACTAAGATATCCTTAGAACTTCGCTTCTGAAGAGAACAAACAGGTCGACTTTCGTGCCCCTGTTCCTTTGCGCTGATCGGATTTATTTGACATTGTATTAGCCTTTTATTTATCCCTAATTTTTGCCTGGATCACCCTCTCAAGTTTTCAATCCACCGGGATGCTCTTTTTTGCCTAAGTTGCCCTCTCGGGTTTTCAAATTAGCGAGCTGGCATATTTTTATATCCCTAATTTTTGCCTGGGCCGCCCTTTCGGGTTTTCAGTCCACCGGGATGCCATTATTGCCTAAGTTTCCCTTTCGGGTTTTCAACTTAGCAGCTGTCTTTTTTCTAGGCATAATACATACGATTTGCATCAGAGTTTATCATCTTATGGAACTTCTAGCCATCCATTGTTGCAAGAATTAAAGCTCCACCATAAAAGACTTTCTTAACAACGAATGGAGCTTCATAATTTGGAGACCACTTTCCTCGTAAATCCTTGTGAACAGGGAAAATCTTCTTGAGCACGAGATCTCCTTCCTTATATCCTCGAAGACGGACCTTCTTGTCGAATGCCTTCTTGAGGCGCTTCTGATATAGCTGGCCATGACATAATGCGGTTAGGCGCTTCTCTTCAATAGGGTTCAACTTATCAAAACGGTTTTGAATCCATTCAGCCTCTTCAAGTTTATTTTCCATCAAGATCCTCATCGACAGGATTTCTGCCTCGACCGGGAAAACTGCTTCCATTCTATATACCATGGAAAAAGGGGGTTGCCCCTGTTGAAGTGTGGACAGTCGTTCGATATCCGTGCAAAGCAAAAGGTAGCATCTCATGCCAATCTTTATAAGTTACCACAATCTTTTGCAGGATCTTCTGAATGTTTTTATTCGCGGCTTCAACGGCTCCATTCATCTTTGGATGGTATGGCGAAGAGTTATGGTGCTCTATCTTGAAACTTTTGCATAACTCTTTCATAACTTTGTTGTTCAAATTTTAC